GGTCCAGCGTCGCCGCCTTCGCCGCCGCCCTCGCCGCCGCCGCCGCCGCCGCCGCCTCGCGACGTCGCGCCAGGGCAGAGTCCTCGAACACCAGGTCGTTGTCTCCCTGCAACAGCCAGCGCGCACACTTCAGCGGTTGCGGTCTGACAGAAGAGGAGTTCCTCTAAGAAGGCACCAAGTTGACAGGGTGGGGAAAGACAAGTACCCCACAAAAATATATGCAAAAGTTACATTACAATGCATGTATATGGATACTTTGTATTTTCCATTTTAATATTCAGACTGCAAATTACAATGCTACAGTTTCATTTTCGTATTGATTTTGGTTTCATGTTTAATATTTCAATACTCTTCGGGATACATATATCAGTAAGTTTAGGACCTTTGAACATATCAATACCATACTTGTACACACTGTTCAGTGCTACCTTTTCTCCTAGCGCTATTCTATTGAAGGAATCAAGTACTGAAGTACTGGTACAAGCGTTAAAACTTCAAAAACATGCAAATACTGGCAGAAACAAAATTAAATGTATTGGTGACTCGTAAAAACAAAACATCCAGCGAAGTGACGCGATGCGTAGCCCGATGACTTCGCATTCGGGAGTTCCGAGTTCGATCCCCGGGCCGGCCATCCTCATCGGAGTTTTTCGTGGTTTCCGTCGGTCATCACGCGAATGCTGGGAAAAATGCCACGATCACCTCTCACCTCACCTCTCATCATCATCCCATCACCCCATGCACCTCTCATCATCATCCTATCAATTCATTCAGTATTCCCTGCAAAAAGACAGGAGGCCCTTGCCGGTAATGGGATCTTATTTGGAAAATAATAATAACAATAATAACAATAATAATAACAATAATAATAACAACAATAATAATAGTAACAAAAATACCATTATTTCTCTAAGTAATCATTGATCGTTTTTGTCACAACGTCCTCTTAACCTTTTTGTTTCAGATATATTAACAACATTTCTTAACCATTTACTGACGACGAACGTGAAGAAACCCTCTTTTTAAGTTAGTCATTCATCGTTAGTCGTAGTCAGTCATTATCCCTTCGACCAGAGGATCGGTGCCGTTGGTCCCCAGATGGTCACCCATCCTATAGCCCACAGTGTTTCGAGTTGCTTGATTTCCGTTGCTTCAAGGAGCATACTTAAGCAATTCGGCTACCAACGCCGGCGAATTTTTAACGTTTCTTTGATGATGTTTTTTCACCACTGGAGACCCTGAACTGGTGGTAAGTTATTTTTACTGTGCTGTCCACACCCAGTGTTTGATTGTTTGAGTGTTCAAAGGAGGGGTCGCCAACCCTTCGAAAGTGAAAGGGCAATCTGAATTTTTGTTACAACACTTCAGCATACTGGTGTGCTTTTATAAAACGAAAACATCATAGCAATCCAATCCTACCTTAAAGAGTAAAATAAACGTATAAAAACCTAATAAAATGACTATAATTTGACGTAATGTTTTAGGCAAAAATGGTTTTGAACTTAATACCAACTTTTCAGGAACTAAGGTGACCGAGAGATGACCTGGATAGAGCCCTTGCTCTAAAATGCTACTAAAATTTAAATTAACTTACTTCAGTTCGGAAAAATGTTCACATTTTTTTTAACTGTGTCTACAGCCCGTCAACGAATCAATTAATCAATGATGAATCTCTTCGCGCGTATTACTGCACG